CGGCCCACCCCCGCGCCCCTCCCACTTCACTTTGCCAATAACGTGGCTCTACGCGAGCTCTAGCTGCCGTCGCTGTCAAACGTTGGTTCGTCTAAGCTGACCAGGGGAGTCCTTATTGCAAGGAGAGGGGGCAGGAGGAGGAAGGGGGCGGACTGGTTCAATAACCGAGCCAGAGAGAGATGGAGAGGAACAGACAGGGGAGAGGCGAGTGAGGGAGAGAGAGAGAGTGAAGTCCGCTCGGGCCGCCTCATAGTGTCCGAGAGAGGGACAGACGACTCCAATTACAACAAGCAAGCAAGCGGCGTGGCTGGCGGGGCGTGGCGGGGCGTGGTGGGGCCCCGGGCCCCAGGCAAAATGAAGCGCCGCGTTCCCCCGTCTTTACCTCGGCATAGATTAGACTGAATCAAACCGACCCGAAAGAGCGTAGATAGTGTTGCAATGGTTTTCATCATTTTCCCGTGGGAGATTTTTTAAAAGATGTATTTGGTTTCTGTTGTTTGTGTGTTTTTTTTTCTCCTCCCCTGAGAGTTCTCTATGGCCGTTTCCAGCGCGCTGACCGCAGTCCAAACCGAACGGCGAGTCCGCGCGCTCCTGCGTATGGACCCCTCCGAAAACCGCCATCAAGGAGACAACATCTCTTTAATTAAATGTAATAAAGTTTAATTAAAAGTCATACTTCACGGTTATCTGTCATGTCGGATGACTCGTGGCTGCTCGACGACGGCCGTGGAGAGAGGAGGAGGAAGGGGGAGGGGAAGGGTGTCCCGTTCCCCCTCCCACCTCCCTCGTTCAGGGCTGGTGGGCCATGAAGAGGAGCGGAAGGGAAGCGGCGACGAAAGGAGAGAGGATGGGGGAAACAGTAAAGAGTCCAAAGTTCAATAGTGGAGTACCGTAATATACATATTGCATGTATCTGTGGGTGGGTGGTACGTACCGTACCGGCGAGTACCTGCTGCAGCAGGGTATATGGGGGAAGTCGGGTACGTTGGCGGCACGGCTTTTGACCGAGTCCCCCCC